CACGATATACGTCCCACGTTTCTGAATCAAACATATTACAAGCACAACACACAATCACTCCGCGATTCGTTTGAAGGTCACCACACGACTCACGTTTAAGGAAAATTTTCGCTCAAAAGAATTTCGTTGCGTTTCTGTTTGCGGAAGAATGATAGATGGCAGCACAGTCCAGGAATTGTCTAACACACCTGTCCTACAGGGCGAATGTTAAAACAACAGGTGTACAAACTCATTTATTATGTCTTTCAATACTGTTACCTTCTTTCTTACTTACTTACTCGGATAAATATATATGAACGTATTTATTTGTCACTTAGTTGTCCATTTATTAGACATATGGCTAGTTATTGTAAGCACGGTAATGAACCTTTAGGTTTTATTAAAGCGGGAAATGTTGCGACTAGCTGTGCTGCTAGTAGATTCTCACAGAGAACTCTTCTTCATAAATGTATTGTTTGTTTGTTTATTATTTACTTTGTCTTTTTGTGTCTTGTATCTTTGAAGTTACGACAACTTTGTAAATGTAGCGCTGCTGTTTAGGAAATTTGTGTTTATAACACAAAGCTGAAGATGGCAGCACAATCAAGGAATTACCTGAGAGTTATGCTACGGTAAACGAAGTTAAAATAATGGACGTACATTCTTATATATTACCTGTTTGTCTAATTACTCTGCTTTCTTCTTTACCTATTCCCATAAACATACATATGTCATTTAACTGTGCATTTATTAGGCATATGATGAATTTTTGTAAACACGGTATTGAGCCACGAAGCTCCATAAAAGGAGGGAAATTAGTGACAACCTTTGCTTCACAGATTTAACTGTTCATTTGATAGTTATTTGGCGAATGTATGCCGAAACGTATACCAGGAAAAACCCAGGATCATAAAACGTCTGCCCATGATTAGGTCAACTTCATTCCAGTTTCACGCCAATGTCAGGCAATTTTAGTTACGTGGAATTTAGGCCTTCATTCTATATTTCTAATATTCTATATCTCCTACGTTATGACGAGTTTACGAGTGTGGCGGTGCTGTTTAGAAAATTTTAGTACAAAAAGCCCACTGCATGATGCTGCCAGCTAGGAATTTCACATTAATGTATCGGGTAATTTGTTTCTCGCTCGCAGCGTACCTACTTCAGCACACGTACTCCCAGGTGCTTCAGTATTATAACGACGCAGATGTGCCGTCGAGGACGTCGCACTGGCGTTGGTAGTTCCCATATGTACAACCGAACTTTTGTTAGCTCAGCGTAGTTTGTGGAGTTGGGGTTTCAATAGATTTACCTTGTTTACTACAGCATTATAGGTTACACGAATTCATTCTGAACTATGTTGTATCAGTTAATTTTGGTATGAAATTGTTACTGCGGTGAGTAGGAAAGTCAAAGCCTAAAATGTATTGATATGACAAGGAGTTTAGCAAAACTTTTTGTCCAAATAAAAGCTAAGGTTTGTTAATACAATCATCTTGAAAATCATCAACATTTACCACAACCCGCCAAACAACATTTTTGTCGTCGTAATTAACGTAAAAACTTCTAAAGTAAATTCTCTACGTTCATTAAACTGACATGCTCGTTAATTTGTTCACTATAATCCACCCTACATCAAACTATTATAATACACATTCACTAATTATAAATTATATTTTCACCCACTCATACGTCTCCCACATTCCTGTCAGACAGTCCGAATAAGCTGCTGCACGCCTTATCCATTCAAATATTTTGATTTTTTTGAAACCTAACAACATTTTGTATAGAGTATAACATACGAAGTGTCTCATTACTCGATTTCCTCGATCGTACTACTTATTTTCTCTTGCATTCAAATACTTTTATAGATAGACAGCTAATTGCATCTGTAACTGTACATAATATTTCCCGAAAATTATATTATCTTATTCGTGTTATAGAAACTTTTCTTTTAATTAGCGTCCAGTTCTTAGTTTTCTAATTAATTTATAGACACGTCATTTATCCTTTCCATTCTGTAATGCATTTAGCTGCAGTACCTCCTGATTATAACTGCAGGTTAATTTTAAAAACAGAGTTAAAGATATTTATATTCTGCTTGACACTGGATAGTCTGTAGGCAAGAGGCAATTAGAAGCTTCACATTAAGAACCCTCCATCGATTAAATTACAAATATTAATTTCAAGAATATGCATTATCATTTTCTTTCAGTCCACTACGATCAGTGACTTTAAGTTATACAAGCAAATACACAGATTAATTCAAACATAAATATTTTTGTTCCAATTCCGAGTCGAAGTATTAACGGCGTTGAGCCTTTTAATCTGGCCCTGAAACCTTGCCACCGATTTGAACATCAATAACTTCATACCGCCTAATCGGAATTCATGAATGACAAAATTTATGACCAAAAACGTCTGTTTATGATCGACATTTGATTTCCAGGTCATATTTTGTCCCATTTGCGTTTACGGGCTATATGATTCATTGCAGCTAATAAATGAACTTCCACTCGGGTGGTGAACGGACCTCGTATGCACGCACTCACACACAAATACATATAAGCCCGTGTTTGTGCTTTGATTCTGAACAAAATGACTACACACACTGTAGCTGGTATAACATACGTCAAAATTATACCGGCAGAACAAAGTAATTAAATTTACATTTAACATAATAGCAAGTGAAACTATCATCGTGTAAAATTGATTCTTCCGGATAATAATCGCCCCGCCATTTAGAATGAATAATTTACATTCATCCTAGCATTCCGCTTTACATAAATTATGTACTTAAGGAATTGTTAAATATCCAGTTAATCAATCAATAAAAATAATTGTAAGGACCTAGTTTCAGCCAATAAACATAGCGTCTGAGGAACAAAGTGCTTTCCTATACGGCAGGGGTTCTCAACCTTTTCCGATGGCGTATCACTAATTCTAATTTAACACATTAAATGTACCACTAAGCAAATGAGTTCATGGAAAACTGTTATTTATGTTAATATTAACTTTTGATTTTCTTACTTAGTTTGCGTACCACCAGTGGTACGCGTACCATAGGTTGAGAAACCCTGTTATAGAGCATTACTAACAGAGGTTAATGTACAAAGACGGTAGGTGGATTGAAACTAATAATTATTTTCTTTTATAAAAGTGATATTTATGTGGTTATATTCCTTCTACATGATATAAGTATTTCACTAACTTTATTATCCAGCCCTTATTTAATTTACGTATTTAGCGAGGGCGGAGGTTGCCCTAATATATCATCGGGCAGAATTTCTTTATTAATTTTCGTCTCACAAAAAATTGAACTTCACTATAAATTCCTTGAGTAACTGAGATCCGATTCGGGAGAAGCTTATCACAATTCGACAAACAGATACAGGAATGTGACTAGAAAAAAACGCGTGAGAAAAATACATTTTGCTCATACCTCAAAAATAAATCTCCATGAATGTGCAAGCTGAATCAACATACGCAGGTTTTCCGTGTTTATGAATAATCCCTTAGTTATAATTTTTAGCGATTTCAGTTGAGCAGCTATTCCATACTACAGCGTGCACAAAGAACTGTACGTACAGAAGCTACTGCCCGTCCTATAGCCGACATTGCTTGCTTCCGTCCGTGCAGAATACAAATAGAGTGATTGTCTGCAGCAAGCACAACCTCCCACATGACGGCAGTTAAAAATTGTACTACACATTCTCATCTTGTACTCTACTCTATCCCATAAGCCATAGAACAGCCCCTTCCAGCATTGTGGTTCTTTTATTGGCGTCCGTGGTGTAAGGGTAAAAACGGGTTTGTATACAGACCGTGTGTAATTCAGTTTAAACATGCTCCAATGAACTTGCGTCAACATACATTCAATTCAAACCTAACTTTATCCCGACCGATTCGAAGAGTGCATCTTAATCGCTCGAAAACTGAAATCACGTGTTCGAATCCAGCTCCGGACATGTACGTTTATCCGCGTTTTTCTGTGTTTTATTTGCTACTATATTCCATTATTAATGGTTTAACAAATATATGTGTTTCTTATGCCCTTTCACATCCGATACTCCACACAGTTAGATACAATATTAGCTATAAAACATAAATGATCACTTTTTAAAACGTATAATAAAATAGCAGAAACTACTTCTAGTGATACAAATTCTGTCGCATTTACCATGAACGATATATCGACGAACGCTTGTAGCTCGATACATTGAGGCCAGTGGGAGGGGCAGTCAATTATTTTTTGGTAAACAACAAATGCAAATTTTAAACACGGAGAAATCTCTCAGGAACTTGTTTATATGGTTCGTTTATTTTGTAAATTTCGCTCTGTTGCATATATTATATAGCGTCCAGACAGAGTAGGTTATGAATTGGGGAGGATATGGAAGGAAGCGGCCATGATGAATTAATTATCACCAAATATTAATCCCAAAATCAGAAGGGGAAACAGATGGCAGATGGTCCGACCACAAAATTTGTTTCTTTACTTACCCTAATTTTTATCACCAACCTCTTTCTAAATATAAGTATATATTTTTAATTATATATATTTGTCGTACTCTAAATGCCAAATTTAATTACTTTGTCAGCCATAATCATGGTTACAAGAAAGAGAATTATAGTACATAAGACATGTTATTACTTTGACGTTTGTTAAAATTACATGCGACATAAAACAGACAAGCCTAACCTGTTCTTTATTTATTTAAAATTCTGGAACATCTGTTTGATTAATGTGACTTAAATCAAACAAATAATGGCATCAAAGCTACATAAAGTTGAAAACGTAAGAAATATAAAAACTGCCACATTCAATGTAAACCAGCTCCAAGTAACTGAGTAAGAAACATACTCAATGTCAAATTTTTAAGATGCTTTCTGAGAATTTATTCCAGAAAATGTATAAAAGAACATATTCTCGCAAACCAAACTGAAGTTCGTCACGGAGGTAATTAATGGGCGATCACTATTAGCTCAGTTCTTTTTTGTAGGAAGCAGTTTGGACTTACCGTTTGTGGACTGGTTTCTCGTCTTACCGACAGCCAGAGAATCATCGATGCCACCCATGTAGACACATCTCCTGTCTTCCATTTCTATATCATCGGTCCTAAACCTGATTCTAGGTACAGAGTCCGTACAACATCGGCGCTGCACATGGCTGGGGACTGGAAAGACTGTCGCAGGATTTAGAGGCGTCGGAGAATCGCTATAGACGTTAGGTCGCTGTTCCTGGCGCAGTTTAACGTCATCTCTCTCGTCTTGCTGCAGCTGTGACGTCGCTGAGCGTCGCCTGCAGATAACGAGTGTCGCTGTGATGAAAATTCCGCCCAGAATTATGACGGCTGCTGCAATAAGGACACCTAACACGATGGTCATTGGATGATGTGATGTGGGTACTTCTTCGACGGTATCTGCTGGAAAGATGGTTCATTTGTACAAATGTTTGCTTGTATGTTGTGATTAAGTCTCAAACTTGTTAGCATCCGTAAAATTTGAATATCGTAAAAATTGTATTCAGAATGTTGATGGCTGTTGTTTCAAAATTTATTATTATTAAAGTTTTCTTCCCACTGCCCAGATATTATTCATGGTAAGTAACTAAAATAAATAAGGCTTGATGAGTTACATCGGTGCAGAATTCATTCAAAGTTTCCTAAGAATGGAGGAATAATATTAAAATGGATCTGAGAAGATGGGGAGGAAAAGTATAAATTAGATTAATGTATGTCAGAAGAGGGGTTGGCGGCAGTTTCTTATAAATAAATTAAGAAACATTCGGGTTCCATTAAAGGCGGGAAAATTCTTAACTAGTAGAGCGACTATTACCATCTGAAGGATGGTTCTGCTTGAAGGTTTCCGTTATTTATTTGTCAGACCTTCATGGAAATCCTTTCGTTACAGAATTCCGTCTTCTCTTACCTCGTCTCAGTTAGACACACCTGCACTAGTGGAAATGCGAGTTTATTAAACTTTATTACATGTCGTTATTTCCTTTCTTCAGAGCTCCTAATACAAGTTCACGTGCTGCCAAAATGGTCATAGTTTCACCATGTAATGTCTGCCTGCACAAGCGACAACAGATGTCCCTGATACAATTTCTGGCTCCCTTAGTCTCATCTTTGGAATATAATCAATTCGCAATTGTTACAGAAATCACCATTAAAATGATGTGTAGTTTTAAAGTGATTAATTTTATGGAGCAGATTTCTTATTGAGAAGGGAACAGTCATTCAGCTTCAAAAACTCCTATCATTATACATAACCCAAACGTTCATTCACGTATTCAAAAGAGAGAGACACTGGACCGTACCTTGAGCCAGATAAATTCAGTTCACGTTATCATATCCTATTCGCTTAGGATCCTTTCAAAATGACCCCGCTATCCAATTCTAGATCTCCAGATGTATTTTATTTCCTCAAGGATTTCCGACTAAACATTCTTATGCGTTCCTCACCTCTAGCTCACGTCTGTCACACGCCCCGCCCACCTCAAGGTGAGTTAATAGGCGATTAAGATACTTGTTGACTCTTTCCGGACTCATTCGTTCAAAAGTCTCTGCATGTCGTTCGCGTTTACGTAATCAGTGTGGTCTATATTTAATGCTCTGGTAAGTCTCTCTCTTTGCAGCTTAAAAACATACTGAATAAAGCTGGTTTTATATTTCAAGATTTCGTCTATGTATATAAATAACTACGTGTATCGTACGTAACACACACTTCTTATAAGCAACATTTAAAGAATTCGTGATCCATATTCCTTACCTGTTTTGGTGAGTCTTTCCACGGATGCAGATACTCTAACCCTGGGAATGATGACCGGGGGGTCACTACGACCCTTTGCGTTGACGGCATACACAGCTAGTTCGTAGTCTCGCCCTGGCTCCAGGGTGTTTAGCGCGAACATGGGCTCAGCGCCGAACACTCTGTATAGTGGCGGTCCTGGGGCCACGTGTCGAGTACCCTGGTCGTTCAGTGTGACGGGTCCGCCGTGCTTCTGCGAGGGGGGCGTCGTGTCTGAATACACTGTTGCCTCACTCACCTCCAACATGAAGTGTTGAGGTAGGTCCCCGTCGAACCCAGCTACGCATTGCACCTCCAAACTGCCACTGCTCCTGTTCCGCAGAATACAGTCCTCTGGAGGCTGGGGTATTTCTGCAGCATGAGTATCATGAACAAGGCACTGCACATCTGCCAACTTAACAAGCAAACTACATCTCAGAATAAACTTTATTTCTTAATCATTATTGCAAAAATTACACGGGTTTCGTCAGCGCCACGATATACAACTAAGCAAATAATTCCCTGTTACTCTTTTTTGGGTAAGCAGTGCGTAATTACACCTCCAGTATAAGCATTCCTTGTTGTTATTGACCTTACTGGGCAGTAAATCACTAGTGAACCCCGTTTCTGTTTACAGCCATATATAATGGCTTCGTCACAATCAAGATTTTGTGGCAATGAGATTTACTCTCAAAGTTCTTAAGGCAGAAGGCACCCTTCCCTCGCCATTCACAGATATCCGCAAATTGTTATTCAGCACATTGTAGCTACTCTGCATTGGATTTTATGGAGGCAGTATTGTTCGATTGCAACCCGAAGAAATTTCATACTTTAGTGACTAATTTTTCACTTAATAACGTAATAGAGAAGTTATATTTAGGCCATATTAGTCTTTACCAAATTAAGTTAGGACTTGCCACAGACGGTGATTCGGAAGTGATTTATGTCAGGGTATTTTAATTTTGCGTTAAAATTCTCGTGGTTGTAAAATATGACCATAAAATTAACATTATGGACAATGTGAACGTTCATATAAGTCCTGAATCAAGTATTTTTAGGTACTGTGAAATTCGCAAATAATTTTAACCGAATTTAAATTATCTTTAAAAATGTAAGAATTTCGAACGAAATAATTTTCGCATGATTTAGATTCGCACAATATTTTAAGGATGGATCAGGACCTGGCTAAATCGAAGCTGTTTGAAACAAAATTGTCACGGAAAAATTCATTACTTCAGAATAAGAACACGACTGAATTACAACTAAAAGTTTTCCTTAAACGTGACTTTCTTATAATCTATTCAACTTTAAAAAAAAGGCTACATCGCCCTCTTTTCGTCCTTTCATCATTAAACTGAGATTGTTTTTGCGCTGTAGCAGTTGAATGTTAATATATTTCATAAATAATATCGCAACTTTAGAAGACGTCCTCAGAGGCTGTTTAGTATAAACTGTCTTTTATCATCGCTTTCACTGCATAGCCATGAAATTGGTAAAAGAGGGGGCTGAAGAGACGACAATTCCAAGCGCTACTCTAACAATTTGACGAGCTACCGTTATTTTTCAACCAACCGTCACTAAAAAAAGTGTTTGAAATTTCCAGTTTTCCTCAGGAGATCCCTCTCTAGGGAACGTTGAGTCTGCATGCTGATGTTTCTAGAAATAAGCACCTCGTAAAAAACAGAACGAAGAAACATTTGAAATTCAGACCGCAAACCAAGGGCAGGACAAGGTAAGAGATGAGGCAATATACAGCAGTACTTCCTATAGTGTGCATATTTGACAGTGCTGTCCTCTAGGTTTCGAGTTGGTATCTCCCTTCGTAACATAAGCGCTGTATCTACAGTGCACATGTGTGTGTGTATTTATGCAGGCTACGGCCATAACTCAAACTTTTCAAAGTAGGTATAAAAGCTAAGGAGAAAGAAGACAAAACGGACATGAGATAGCAAGTGTCAGAAGCAAAAGAGATACACGAAGAGGCAAAGTACGAAGAACATGGTTAACATTAATGTAGATTAAGTAAAATGATAATTTGGTGATTGCAGATGCATTGAATGCGTCAAAATTATAAACCTCTCTTCGTCATTCAGAAATGAAATATTTCAAACATTTCAGTGGTATAAAATTTGTCTTCTTTCATTCATATAAATTTAGAGAACATATTTTTAAGTTACAGCATACATGCACACATATAGTACATAAACTCATACATGGTATGTATCTCCCTCTCTCTAAAATTTCGAAGTAACACGCATAGAATATTATAACGAAAATAAAAATCATAAAATTCGCACCCAACGGTCCAAGTTTCACTGTTGAACGCTTACGTTTAACACTATTTAATTAATAAAAGTATACTTTTCAACTAAGACGCTAATTGTTATGCAAATACCAGTTTTTAAAAGCTCCAGTATTGAAAAATATAGACAATTGTTTGAACGTCGAGGCAATCTAAATAGCATTTAAATATTTAGCCCCTGCCTCAAATAAAACACAATACCTCATAATTACGTACATAGACCGACTGATTTTTATTGATAAATGAAACCATTCCAATTTATTCCCAGAATTACAAAAAACCAATACGAACACTATGTAGGTAAAATGCAGTGTTTTTACTTCTTAAAATCGCGGGTAAAGTAACAATCGGCTTTAAAAGGGGCAAGGAAACTTTAAAACAATTACATAGTCGCAGTACTATTTGGTATACATTCATCCTGTTACACTCTACTTATATTGTACTCGGTGTGGCATATATAATTACTACACACACCGACTGACATTAATTTTTCTGTACACTTTAAAACTGAACACGCGTGTTTCATTTACATATGTTGCAATGCATATTAGAAACATCTTCCTCGTATTTTGTAGATACGCATCTGTACGTAGTGTTTTGTCTGCAAAGACAAGCATCATAAAATGTTGAGGTGTTCTTTAAACAAAACGCGTTATATTTCCGCAACACGAAGAAAAATACGAGCATAGTTTTTGTGCGTCAATTCTTCTACTGCTCGCAGACAAACTTTGTTGAATTTTCTTTCACCAGAAACATCATGTACTCCTCGGAAACCCGAGATGTAGCCTGCATACAGTAACACTGTCTGTCTGGTAACTGAAGAGACACTTAGTAAACTTTGTACGAGGTTTTCCCTATCTACAATATAAATTCGACAGGAATTACCTTAACAAAATATGCACTGTCTTTCAAAGCTGATTCTCCATATGCAAAGTCAACACTCTACATTACAAGCTTTATTGTTACGTCAACCATAACATTTCGCAATTCCCTTATCTACTACTAATATTTGTGGACATATTGCATATTGCATTAGAGCCATGGCGTGAAGGCGTGCAGGGGCATGGAGGTACTAAACAGACATATAATGGCGCATAGAACACAAAGATTAAGTCGTCAGTTTTCTAAACGTAGTACCAACATTGCGTGAGCAAATATCTATGCCCCTATCGGGAGTCAAATATAGTTCAGTTAGCCTGTAGCTAGTAACTATGCTGACTGTTTCAACGACTTAAACGCTGCAAATACAAGAGTTTACGTGTAGATACATGAAAATCTGCAGGAGACATAAGAATATGCCACAAATAACTGGCGTATTCCTCATTGTACGCGAATTTGTATGAAATGGTTTTATAAATTTGTACATAAATCTTTGAAAGTATGTAAACCCATTTTATTGTTACAAGTCGCCAGTAATATTACCTGATATAATAAGACGGTAATGAGTTTGTAACATACGAACTTTAGTAATCTGTCCCATATAACCCGCTATCGATAACTCAAAGTGTTATCTACTTTACGCTTTCATTTAGTATTTATTCACGTGAAGGGAGCGGCACAATAGTATTTAGCTGGTTGTAATTTAATAACAGTTGTTCCCAGTTCACGGTAGGAGTATTCAATTTTAATAGGCCTATGTATTTATATGAATTCTCTGCAATTATACAATGAATCTAATTGAATATATAATCCAATTAAATAAAATATTACTGTAATTAATACCCGGTGAACATTACTGACTTAAATATATTAATTAATCTGGAACAGCTAAAATAACGCATGTGCCCATTGTAACAATTTTGCAGCAGGGCGAAGTTCAAAACAAATAAATCCACAGTACGCTGTATATTAAAGTATAACAATATATAAAATGTATATCATTTATAAATTCTACGTAGCTTGACAACAAAGAAATAGTCTACTAATTACAAACATATTAATATAAATTGATTCATTACTAAAATAATCAGGTAAGAATTAAGCAAACATGGCTTAACCCTCAGAAGCTCAGTGGTATCTAAATGAACCACCTATTTATCAGTCAGCAGGTCTGCATTTTGTCGCTAAGAATTTACAGGCTCTGAAGTTTAAACGTAATGAATTATTAACGGCGAATGCATACAGATATATTCTGTGTAATTTAGACTGATCAAATAAAGGAGGAAGAAATGGGCAGGGCACGTAGGAATATGGGAGAGACGAAAACATCTGAAGACAAGAGACCACTTGGGAGACCTAGAGACAGAGGGGATAATAATATTAAATATAATGTTAAACAAATAATGTATGTGGGTGTGAACAGAACTCATATGTCTCAGGAAAGAGTTCAGTTACAGGTTTTTGCGAAAAGCGGAAATAAATACAAAAACGGGTAAACTAATTTATTTACTAACTAAGCTATTATCAGATTTAAAGGACTCTGCTTCATGTAACACAATTGCTCGAATTTAAATCTTAAAATAAAATGTTGGAATGACTAATCGACAACAGCAAAAAGTGGAATATGGATATTGAAATCAAACACGATTGCCATAAAATGAGTTCATTTTCAGATCACAGTAAATACGAAAAAGGTAAATAACGCACTTCGTTTATTGTGATATTACATTAATATTTCCACATCTTGGAGTGTAAATATTATGATTTTGGAAATAAAACACACTGTTGTATGAGTTCAAGTGCTCATATTATTGTTCTGTCTTCAAATGTCTAACAGTAGCGCGTGCACATAAGTGGAACGACATCGCGAGGTAGGTACAGGTGGATTAAATTTTTGGAAAAATACGTGTCCAGATACCGCGACCGAATTCATTCCTCGGCAACACTGATGATATTTTACGTATGGAACACAGTCAGTGTGATACATGTTTATTTTCAATTTGAGAAGAAGAAGCCATCCTGGAATTGTACGCTTATACGAAACGAAAACAAAAAATAGGTTACAGGACGTTGAATACCAGAGCAAGGTACAACAAAATCAAAGAACTTGATATAAGATAGTATTCGAGACCGAAAGATGAAAGGAATTCGCAAAGAGAAAAGTACCAAAGGGAAATAAAGGCGAAGGGATAAATTTTGATTACATTACAACTGTAACGTTTCCGCTGACTAGGAAAGAGAACAAACAGAAGAAAAGCATAGCGAAGAAGTCTATAATGAAAGAGCAGAAAGGAAAAATGTATGATGAAACCGACCTGGAAGGCATCTTTCGAAGATTTCCTAAAAAAACAAGACAGCTGCAACCACAGCCAACTTCCTCAAAAATACAGTTACCAAAAGCCTTGTGTCCTTTGCAGAAGAAACATTAAACCATATGGAAATTGCTTAGAGCTAAAGGTCATAGGTGTGCTATGGAAGCTTCTTCTCCGGGCAATTGTATGTGACTCCAGAGGATGTTCCATCGGTAGAAAGGTAAGACGAAAAAATGGGGACCGACTATAAGCAGAAAATTCAAACCACGTATCCATACCTTCGCGGGCGGAATATTAACAAGAGAGAAATCTTCAAGTTGTTTAGGAGTTCTTGTGTGTATGCAGTGCTGCCATCCCCTTCACACACGGCCTACTGCAGCAAATGCAACCTCCACCCCACCCCCAATGCTTCTTCTATAAAAAGAATACTGCGTTTTTAGTCTGAGTGGTTTATACCAACTGCAATATACAAGGAAGAGAGATCTGGTGACTTACTGTCATTTTTTTACAACTATTATTGAACTGTGTCGTTAAAATATGCAGCGGATCTTGGGCTAATTTACTCTTTCCAAAAGTTTAAGTTCTATATTATGTTGCGTGTTTTGCACAGTATTGAATTGCATTGTATTGATCTAGGGGAAGGGGCAAATTCAATCGCCAGATGACACTAAGATTACATACGTAATATAAGGTACACTGTACAAATAATTTATAAATTTTAATTCAGAAACTGAAGCATTTACGCTTGAAAAAACTATAGAAATTTACTCGCAATTATGCAAGGCCACTTGGAAGAGTTAGGCAAATTGGTGGGATAACATTAATAAATATCTTATAGGAACAGGTTTATTCTTGTGGATTTCATTGTGCGGCTTCAGGATAGGGTCTCCTGGCGGACTATTGTCAAACCGGTAATGAGCGTTTTGTTCAATAAAAGGCTTAAAATTTCTTGGCTGAGCCACTATTAGCTTCAGAAGAACTGTGTTTCCATGGGGTCATTTAATACCGCAATTGTATGGACAAGGATAGGTAAGGAGTTTCTTTAAGTGGTATATTAAAATAGTTTGCAACTGCGTACGGAAAATATTGTTGCACTTATAGTAAAGAGGGGTACTGTATTAATGAGGTATTTGTCTTCGCTTATTAGGTCGTGTACAATTATACTTATAGAAGCCATATTAGTGACAGTTTGTGAAGTATGATAGTCCATATGATCGCCATTATTGTATAGCTAAATTCCTTGGTATATTATACGCGTGTATATAAATCCCTTAAATATGCATGACCTTTTTTAACCTATGTCCTTTCTAACCAGCTGAGTCATTCTTCTTCTACACAATTTCCAGCTAACAGAAGAAGCAATTAGAACATTATAAGTTCTCCACACATAACTCCAAGTATTGGGAAGGCGATGGGACAAAGCGACAAGTAAAATTTTGAATCTGATTACACAATTAATTAGGCCCAATTTGCAGTGAGATCTATATCTGTGATCGATGGTACTTACTCGCTGCAACTATGTGGAATAGACACGGCACACTCTGACGGCCAATGCTGTTGCTTGCCCAACACGCCAGCGTTCCATAATCAACCTCTGATTCTGGCGTATACCGAAGAACACTGATCAGGCCTGAGTGGATGACCCTTGAACCGGGAACCGGAAGTACGTCACGGGATTTGTTGTAAGTCCAACTGAACTTTACATCATCTCGAGGATCAGCCGTGACCTCGCATTTCACGTCCAGAGTCTCGTGACGTATAGCACCGATGCGACGCGATGTAAAGCCTTCGCGGCATCTTGGAGAATCTAGAAACAAACGCCAACTTTGTTTATCAGTCTTACACATTATTACACAGTCAAGGACTATCTGAGGCATCTCCTCCGAAAGTCTTATGTTCTCTGTTTTCAATATAAATTCGAACCGAATACTTCTTATAAGAGTTCTCGAAAAGAGACTTTAAATTTCGTCGTTCATTAAAAATCCTATTTTATTATAATATGACTAGTTCATTACGTGATGCCAATTAAACTATTTTCGATATTGCAATTCTTCATGTTTCATTCCTAAGAATCGTGAACACTATTGTATCACCACGATAACAAAATTAATTCATATCTTGAAAATATGAATGTGAACATTATTTTTGCTTACTCAGTATGGTGCATCCCATTCGCTAGATTAACACACATAAACTTCAGCGGGGATTCTGTGAACACCACTGGCTTTAAATTTTCAGTAATCTTGAGAATTTAGCTAACGCAGGCGTAAGAAGCATACTATCTTTATGATGAAAATATACATGCACGGTGTTTGTGACAGCCACATATCAAAACTGTTTACATGGCTTACAGAATGGGGAGATACAGAAAAGTATACTTGTGCATTTCCTGTTACCTGTCATTTTGAAAATAATGCCACTTAGAAACATGAGAAAGGAAGAAAGTACAAAAGAGACAGAAATAGTTGGGCGACGACATTGAGAAGAGAGAAGAGGAAAAATTGCTTAATCTTAGTTCATACTTTCATCATCTTAACGTGACGGATCTTACAAGAACAGAAAAAAATACACAGAGGTTCAAGCGAGAATGTTGCAATAAATTCTACTTAGCGAATGAGAAGATTACGGTCTTCGTGCTCCACTCTATGTGACAGTACGAACGTAGGAAAGTTGGTAGCCCAGTAACATTATTTATCAAGCGTTATAAACTCTTCATCACATTTCTTTCATTCATTCTCTAGAGCTGGCTCAGACACAACGTGACTAGACATAATGCTCAAACACAAAACATCAGAACTGAATTGCAAATATTTCTGTTGATACCGATCTACAGCCAATCCAAAGCCTTTATCTAAACAAAATGTGGTGAAGATTTATGGAATCTTTCGAGCCTTGAATAATGTGGTCTTCAGGTTTCACTGACATGTTACAAATAGCAATATCAGAATAGAATTAATATTTGCCGTAAATGTGAAATATGACACGAATAGATGAAATGAGACACTCGTAATCAGAATGCCTGAAGGAAAGAACCACCTTGGTAGACCTAGACGTAAATGGGATAATATTAAAATGACAATTTGGCAATGTGGACTAAATAAAATGTAATTCAGGACAGGGTACCAGTGACGATGATGGCAGATCCTGTGATGGATGATCCTGTGTTTGGGTACAGGAACCATGTGGTAGCTAGCTTATTTTCGATGTTTCAGAGGGTCATTCTGCCTCTGTCATCAGTTGTGAAGCTTATTTACTATAATTAAATTATCTTAAAGGGTTTGCAACTGATTGCAACATTTTTAAAGCTATTTTCAGACGCGTGAAAATACATGTTACGTATAGGAACGTCTATCTCATGACTTAATATTTTGGTCTTTGGTTGGATAACCAATCTTTTTAAACAGTAAATAGTAAGAGTAAGTTGTAAAATGTACGTGAAACATATTCAGTCCTACCAGAATGGAGGTACCCGTTAAGCTTATTGAGTTTAACGACATACGCGCCAAAGCAGCTCGTGCGTGGTTACCCACCTCGTGGCGTTCTCATTGTTCTCCGTGTGCTGCGATGGCGTGCAGAAAAACTTTAATTTTCCTCTGACTGGGTACGTAAAAAGATACCCATTACAGCACATTCCACATTTTCCCATCAACAGGTTTTCGGTGGTTTAGAATTAGTTTTACATATTTTTAACTATTCCCGCCAAGTCAGTTTTTAAATTCAAATGTGGATGACGTGTTTTAATCATGCTACTGTGTTGAATGCGCCTACGAACGCAAGACTTCACTGCATTCAGTCTCCGCAAAAGCTATAGATCACATATAAGGGTTTTTATTCTTCAATAATATTTTTCCAAAAGATATACTTCCGTCGTAACAATTTTAAACATCCTGAAAATAATATAAGAAATTCATAGATTTCAATATTTTTAAAGAAAGTCTTCCAAGAACAATATTTTAACCTTCTTTCATACACAAAATGCAAAGATAAAAATAACTCAGTCCATAATCGAAATCATTTGACTTCTCTTATATTTACAGTTGTCTGGTCAAAGCATCAACCATGTTTAAAATTATACTATTACTACTAATGCTGCCTTTTTGAACTATATAACACATTAGGAGCATACAAATTCTGCGACATTTATATACCCTTCCATTCAAACTTCTGAAGTGGGCATATTCTAGATTTTCATATATATATATTTATGTTTATATTTAAACCTCACACCATCCAGTACTTCCTCTGGTTACATTTCTAATATTATTGTCTACTTATTCTTGATTTATTTGATTTTCATTTCTTAGATAATACTACGTCGAATGACTGAATAATAAATTCATAAAAAGTGGCCGTAGCCTATTTTAAGTTACTGTCCCTGAATTCGTGTGGAAGGACTGAGGAAACTAATCCAAATATCTGTCAAAATAGTCAGCAAGCGGGCGAAGATTTAAACTTGGGATCTGCCGAATACGAATAAACATGTAAGACTTGAGGTTCTCACAGCGGTGAGTATGAAGATTTCCGTCTTCTGGGTTGTTGCGCTGTGTAGTCTGGTCGATGTTAACCAACATTTCAGAGGTCATACTGCCTCCGTCATCAGGGCGATGACGGAGGCAGTATGACCTCTGAAACGTTGGTTAACTAATTTCGAATACGAAAGAATATAGAGCAAAATAGCTATTTAGAGTCGCAGTTAATAAATTTTAATTTTTAGTTTCAAACATAAATACCTTGAAACTTATTATTTAATTATGATATCTGAAAGGGAGTAATAGGTGAAGAAGTATGACTCCTAATTTTGAAAAGTATGATATTGGCAGGAACATTTTTCTGTCCGTGTTGAAATTGCCACACTTATTTAATTAAATTTGTTGTATTTCATCGTAATCACCAGTCTTCCGTGTCTTAACTTATTATTTAATTACAATATCTGAAAGGGAGTAATAGGTGCAGAAGTATGACTCCCAATTTTAAAAAGTATGATATTGGCAGGAACATATTTCTGTCCGTGTTGAAATTTTCACACTTATTTAATTAAATTTGTTATATTTAATCGTAATCACCAGTCTTCCGTGTCTTAGACTCAATGGCCTGTTACGGAATCATGCTTGTTTTAGCACTGAACTAATGTGCATAAAGATCCTAAAATGATCTGTTTATTCATGTAATTTCTTACGAAAGAAAACGTATATATGTTAATAGAAAAACTACTAAAATCACCGAATTCAACTTGCTACTATCTTCTAATCATTAATATATTCTGAAAATAGGCCTATAATTAGCAAAATTCTATCTTGTGTACAGTCTAATAAGGATATTTTTTAATTCGTCCGTAAAATAACAAGTAAAAACACGCTTGAATTGTTAAAATGAGGTACAGAATGCTTAAAACATGTTACCATGTTAAATAACAAGTAAAAACAGGCTTGAATTGTTAAAATGGGGTACAGAATGCTTAAAACATGTTACCATGATGGTTATCCACCAAAATATAAGGTGGAGGCAAAGTGTAACAGAGTTAGTGTATTTATTATTACCATCATTTAACAGAGAGTAAAATCACGAAATCGCAATTCTTACTTCAGACATTTTGTTCGTGTTCAGAATCCCGGACGGCACTAAACCGATTAATTAGGAGTATTCTTTGCCAGACGCAAGAAGTGGGACCTTTGAGAAAAGTTGTAAAGTTTTTGAGCCTCCACGCGTGCTTAGATTACGAGAGACTTGAACAGATGTGCGCAGGGTAGCATCGTGTTTAAATAGCTTCTGCATTTGTACTGGTCCCCATTTAAAGGTGGCACAAGGAAAACCCCAGTCAAGGAGTACCAGGCGCTCAGGAAGAATGTGAAGTTTGTTTATGGATCTTTTATAGCAGCAAATTCTATGCTACAAGGCTGACCTGCGATCTGGAGTATTGAATATTCCTTAAGTATAGTGTTTTGTATATCGGCAGGCCTCTGATTTGCGTTAGTGGATATATACGCAACTTCGGCGAAAACAAGTTTATTTAATGCTACAATACCCCAGAAATTTCGGCTCCCGGAATGGGATTTTAGTGCTGTTTTCCTCTGAATCACGACAGGACAGGCATAGCTGCACTATTACTGATTTTATTTAGTATCCGAACTCAGAAAGCTATTTCCGGCAATGTACACATTTCTGATGTCTTTGCGTTACCAATAAGTAGCACGGAGTTTAACACTTTGAGAAATAGTATTAAATACACTACCGCCTGCTTTAACATGAGCATCCTTTACACTTCTCCACGCGCTGCGTCACATCGGATACTCATCTTACTTTCCCCAACATGCATTATGACAACCAAGGAGAAAAATGTCTAGACGAATAAAGAATACGCACTATTCAGTGGGATAAAGAAAAGTTAATTTGAGACGCTGTGACATTCATACGTAAAAGGAAGTGACCGGTTTGTTTCAAATCTCCAGCCATCATCTTGACTACTTCAATAATATAGTTGTGCATAGTCACAGACCCAGGAGGTGGTAAGGCAAATGCGAAACAGGGGAGGCGACTGTGTGAGTTATCTTGTGTCATTTCAAAACTCCCTTCTTCCTTTTTAAGGGCGGGAGAGGGGACAGAGAAGATTGCGTCGCGAACTGACAATGTTGCCCGCGGAGACGGCAAAAATATGAAGTTAAAAGGAAGTTGTTTCTCTTTCCTGCCATACTATCTCACAGTTTTATAGTGGCCGCTAAAGCTGAAAATTACAACTGCTTTGCTCACATAATGAAGGCTATCGGCGCGACACAATTCTGAACTTGAGGGCTGCCAGAAGTAGCACAAAAGTTTGTTCTGTGCAACTTGTCAGCTCTAAGAGACCACTATTAATTTTAATACGGCTGAACAGTTGCTTAGAACTGGAAAAAAACTAAAAGATGCCTACTTTTATTTCTATTTTTGAAAATTTTAATTAATATGATAGCCTGGTACATTAATCAGAGAACAATTATAAGATAATATTAAAATGTTATGAAACTAAACTTAGTTATCAAATATCGATATTTATTTTCTTCTAGCGGCAGTCCAAATATAAATCACACAGACTGGTAGCTGGCAGTTTAAGCATCAGAATGGTACTTGGTATTGTAAGTGTAAAAATAATTATTAAAATCGTTTTCACAAATATAAGTTAATTAGTATCTATAATAATAAGACCAGATCTTGAAAAGGTGACAGACATATGGAGAGACAGACACGCAGTTTGTTAATATCTATATTTAAAAGAAACAGGGTTCATTCGGAAACAAATTTAGGAAAGGCAATATAAAAGCTGTCTGTGTGCGCTTGTTTGTAGATATTCGAGTCCCCTCCTGTCTCTGAGTAATTCTTGAGTGTCATTTCGCAATGACAGTATGGCAGACTTCTAGTACGGAGGAAACGGTAGCAAGTGTTGTAATTCATGGTCCTATAAATATTCATTACGTCAGGTAGTTGGAAGTGGCTACGCGGATTCTTGAAGTGCAATATTTGTCTGAAACATAAAATACAAACAAGGACAGGCCTTGGTGAGAAAGTTTTAGTTCACTAATGACATGTTATTTATTGGCTGACGAAGGAGCTAATTAACGTAATGAGAATGGATTTTTCTCGACAAGTTCATGTATGGACAAAGTCTATTTGTGTGCTAGTGTGTAAGTTTGTTTCTGCTTATAAGCTGGGAGACGTTTCGTATCTAAATAGATGTGTAACAATTAATTAAATAATTACAAGCTGACCTTCTCCCTCTCCGCCCCCATACCTGTGCTTTGAGAAAAGAATTAACCTCATATGATTTATTATCATTCACAGCTATGTCAATATATATAAAAAGCCGGTAATGATCTTGTCAACATGGTTTCAAAAAAATACCTTGATAGCAGCACCCAAATATTTGTCCCTCTGAGGCATTTGTGGAATTTGAGACATGTTTAAACTGCCGTGTGAAAGAAATGAATTGTGTCCCAACAAACGACAGACGTAGCCTTGAACGTCGAAGATAAATGGTATTCCAACCAAACACTCGAGTAAGAAAATACTCATCCCTCCTTGATTACCTCAGTTTGGTTCTGATCCAATCTTCAGAAACTTTGATCTTGATCTGAAGAATGGGGATGGACCACAAAATTAGGAATCAGGAGAATTTTCGTGAGTCCTTTGTCAAAGTTAATGAGACAGAATAAAAGTGGGTTAGCTCTAAAGCCGATTGCAGTTCGTCTGTTGGGTAGAGTAGGGCTTCTATTGAATGGGAGCTCCACTGAACATTGTCTTGATGGATATACGAGATAGTTGGTACAAGGGAAGCCATTTTATTGGGTTCAGTCTCTTATTGTTCCAGGTGGGATACAGATTCGAGCTATTGGTGTATCATTAAATATTATGGAACGGCAGTATAAAAGCTTACGTGGATTGTACGGAAAACTGTGTCGCATGAACGGAAACTTCGGGGTGTTGGTATATTTCATATTCCTGATTCAGTAATCGTTTACTATAGTCACTGATCATTATAGTTAGTTAATTAGTTGGTTATGCTGCACGACGATACGCATCTGTAATAAGAGTACTATTTATGCTACATGCTATATGCATTATCTAATGGTACGTAATTTGCTGTTTCTATTTGATAAACTTCGAAATGTTTAACCTCAAAGCTTATCTAAGAATATTAACTGCATCTAGAGGTTTACTAAGGCAAATATTTTTAAGATTTCAGGATGCAAATTTTCTTATAAATTCAATTTATAATTTGTAATAATAAACAGTTCATCTCTCTCCTACGTATGATCTCACTAGTCAAATAATTTACAAAATTAATCAGTTGCAAGAAGCGAGAGGTAAATAGTTAACGTACGGAAACCTGTAATAGATGAATTCTCGATATTTGTTATACACGTTCCAATTCTAAAAATAGTAGGCATAAATTATAAAGTATTTACTGGTGATTCAATTTAAGTTTAGAAACCATAAACATCCAAACTAAACTAGTAACTGATCTTAATAAATCACATCTTATAATGTAATATCAAGGCAATAAACAAATACAAACAGCCAGATAACAATTCAAAGGACCCGGAACAAGATTCAAAACACAACAAACCAACTGCAAACACGTATTAAAACAGGTGGCAAAAACATACACCATCAAATCAAAGAAAAATAAAGATGATAAACAGAGATAGGCGGAGACAAATTGCAAAGTCGTACAGAAAGTAGAAAATGGCACAGGTCCTGACGAGAATGACAATGGCAAGAATCCCAATGTAACATACAAGAATTCGGCTGTGAGCTATGACTTGGGAAAAAGAAATGAATGAGATTTAGAGATAAAAGTAAACACGTATAATAGGAAAAGTTCGTTGTGTAGGGTATACACGAAACAACACAAAAAGTAAATCGGTTGTGATGTCTACGAATTATTTTGGTTTTAAGAGAAGAAAAAGATGAAATGGCACACAATATTTCTAACTTTGGATGATAGATTTTTAAGAAACCATTTGTAGTAACGTAGTCCACATAAATATATATTATTTTTTCAATTTGGATCTTACCACTATGGACTGCTGGGGTTTATGTGTGTATATTTATATGTGTGTGTGCGTGAGTGTGCGAGTGTGTATGTACACACACTCATTCCTCCTATAATGGTTAAAAAATCACACTGAATCCTCCATCGAATTTTCTATTCTACTCTCTCCATTCGCGAAACGGAGGCAGATCGGCTCGAGGGTTGAGTGGTCCTGGTAATTTATGGCTCAGATTTAGTGACAAAGTGTACGGAATGAAAAATGGGGATGTAATTTTTTTAAAGTCTCTCTCTCTCTCTCCGCCTCCACGTTTTTAGAGATTGTGGACCTTGTAGGAATATTTCTCATGCAAAATACTGCCAGACACTTGTGCTGGGACCAGTAGGCACTGTGCACCATCTGTTTGGCTTTTATGTCACTAAAATAATTTTAAATATAGAACATATTAGTGCATTTGGCTTTACAGGATTACGAGAAAAAAAATTCTATGCAATTTAATCCTATCGTCTTCCTTCTAATTAAGCACGAATGTTATTTCTCTAGTATGTTAAATCTTTCAAGTATAAAGTCTTAGTAGAAGTCAAATATTTCAAAATTACTCCCTCTTAGACTTTTATTTATTTTTATTTGTCAATTTAACGCCGAATACAGCACATGTGACGTTTAAAATAGCTTCTGAGGGATGAAATATGGCTTATTACATGGTTCTGCCTTCATTAAATTTCTGAAAATTATTGAATTTAAATGTCAGCGAAATTCGATGTATGGAACCCCAGGATGCTTTATTTACTGGTATAGCGCAATTTAATCTGAAAACTTGGGATTCAGAATAACAGTGAAATAGCACACACTGAGACGTGCGGTATAAGGAATCACTGAAAGTAAAGACACAGGGCAAGGAATACATTCAGACACTAATAATACAACAAAAATAGACACGCGCCTGTGGGGACGATTGATTCTGGGTTTGTTTAATGGCGCTTTTTCAAACCCATAGCTTAGAAGACGCAAAGCTTAGCTGTAGTAAAATTGTAAGAATAAATTAAAGAAGACTATGAAAGGAACGACTCGTGGCGTATCTTAATCTACTATCGAAATGCTTGTTTAGAGTTACTAGTAAGTTAAAAAGGTAAAAGTAAAGTTGTCCAGCTACACGCCATGCAGCGTCTTGGGGTGAGGGGCACTAGAGGGGTGAGTGGTCAGCGTCACGCCCAGGCCGCACTTTACCCCCGGGAAAGTACCCCGATACCCATTGGAAAGGAGAATGAGTGGGCACCAGTGCCAGTCCGGACGCAAAGACCAAAGAAAAAAATTCTTTGCCCCCGTCGGGAATCGAACTCCAAATCGTTCAGTCCTTAGTAAGTACCATTATAAATTTTTGGTCTGGTTATTATTCACTGTATCGATATTTCAGGCTTTCCCACTCTGATCACGAAGTTGGAGTGGGAATCATGTCGCTGTGACTTTTGGTGTGAGAAATGAAAATTCAGATGCAGTACGATAAACCAGTTGCATCGTAAGGGCTAAGATGGCTGAGGCAGGAAGTACCACCAAAACGTTTGTCAATTTCTATCAGACTACACGGTGCAGCATTTAAGCAGACAGCCATGTTTATATTCGTCGCCGTGAGAATCTGAAATATCACCTCTGAAAAATTTGTCTTCGCAAAATGGTAGTGATAATTAAAGCTGGCCACGACTGAAAATACGAGATCGTCTAAGGAGAAATATTAAACAACAGAAAAATAAGAAAACTGAGAAATAAAAATATGGAAGTATTGAAGGAGAACTAGTGAGGGCATAAAAGACATAAGCTTAAGAAAGAGAGATGTTGGGGGATTCCCCCAAATCGAGATCAGGGAACCAACATGCCCACATATAAAAATGCATCCACAATGAATCAAAATATTATTCTTATATTACCATATAATTTGCATAGAAATTTACTGCTTTACTGGTAACCGCTGAAAATGATCACTTACACTGCACCCTCAAGAATACCGAGCTGCTACGAGTTTCACCTTCTTTGTTCACCGCGGCACAAGAATAGTCTCCGGCCGACTCCTTCGTGATCCCTCGCAGCGTCAGCCGATGTCCCTCTGGTAGAATTCCTACGGACTCGTTGTAATCCAACAGCTGATCCTGCAACATAACAGAAGCTGAATGAAAAATCGGAGTTGTGTGTTTGAGTCTACATTTTTCTCTTTTCCTTGTAGCAAGCTGGTAAAAATAAAATTTGGTTCACTTTCATTTTTCTAAGCGACTTATAATTTTTAAGAAAAATCCTTTCACAGTGCTTTAAGCAGCGTGAAGCCGACGTATGAAACTAAATAAGTTATCTATGCTGAAGGAAGTGAACCCGTGGTCCACACTGAAGACTGATGCAGTCGGTTCCTCCTAAGTGTTGGCAGAAGGTATGATGCGAACACCCGGATGATGATAACCCAAATTTTCACTCCCATAGAATTTTCACGTATGTTGTTTTATATTCTTTATTCTCCTTTCTCGCCTGAGTTTTACAAGATGTATATTTTAAACACACCATAACAAAAGTTATAAATAGAGAAATTATGTTTCCTGCAGAACTTTTGTATAAATAGCAAAGCAATTTATTTTTTAAAAAACACATTTATAATTAACGAAGTTCACAGCGATTGCTGCTGAGAGTGAGTAATACAATTCTTGCAGCATTTTCACATGTGTAATGAGTTTCAGACTTATATGGACAAGTAATATGCTTCTGAATTACTGCTTGAGACCAAGGACACTTTATAGATAACTTCAGAATTTAATACGGCGTCCTTAAATACGCTAAGAAAAATACGAAATCAACTCTATAATCACGATTAAATCTGGTATGAAGTTTCTTCCAATGAATACCGAGTCCGTTTCGAATTTAATGCATAGATAAGGAAAGTGAGATTTAAGCCTGCTTATGCATGCACGTCACAGCTGCAGTCAAAGTTAGAGGTTGTGAGGTGAACATGGGATTGGTGTTTTGCTTCAAATCCTATCGTAAATTAAACAGATGGCTCAAATTGTAGTTAATTTCGAACATTATTCATAAGCTAACACCAAGCTCATTATACATGCATTTGGCAGCCGCATGCCCCACTTAAGAAAAACTGGTTTTGGGAGCGACTAACGTTTTCCTAAATATCTAATAATTAATGATGAAAGTGTTACTCTACATTTTTAAGAACTACATAAAAAATGTTACATTTTTTTAAGAATATTACAAATTTTGTTGGTGGAAAGATAACCAAACATTTTGCGTCAGACACTGTACCTTATTCAGATTGAATACTGTAGTAAGAATGTTATTTACTACGCAATTCTTTATTTTGTTCGAAGTAAATAAGCTTCCACTGTCTCGTACAGACACTGGAACGAGTCACTTTTAGACGAATACTGCATCGTCTGTTTGATTTTAAAATGTTGTTAAAGTTTAAAATTTCATTTTATAAGTCTAGGTCTATAACTTCTCGGAAACTAGCTTGATCTTTGTTTTCTTATTCCATGTAATGATAGGAAGAGAACTTGTAATAAAATTCTGCAGCAGTCTCGTTAATTTCTGAGTGGTAATACAGAACGCTCCGTTCCTGATGAGAAGAAAACAGATGCCTCTACCGGAGTTTTCTCAAGTCCTAAGCAAAGAGAACTTTCACGTCAGTTATGAAACATTCCATCTCTTGTTAGTAAGTTTCTACCATACTGACTTCTCAGTTTCCACAGAATTTGTCGAGGTGCTTCATAGAACTCGACCTCTTTCTATCTCAGTAGCTTGTCTGACGTAATGTATTTCGCTTCCGTCTATAAGAATCCCATTTTGCATAGCCAAAAATTATTAAGACAGTTAAACATAGTGTCTTCACAGCCTAGAAAATCCCCATAAGACCCACGTAACATACAAAGAATAAAACAGAAATAAAAGTAGTAGTAATGCCTAGAACAGCTTTATTTATTTGCGGTAATGTATACCAATAACTTAACTAAATTTTGCGATGTTAGAGTATCAAACATTTCTGAGTCAATTTCAGCTACCCCATATATTCACAACCAATACCGCTATCATCCATCGTAATTGTGTCATACTTTATTCATTGTCTTCCAAGCAACATTTCTTAGCTTCTCTGCATTTTCAATTTCACGTTTACCCGAGTTTGCTATCCTCACAAAATAAACTAACCAGCAAATGTTATGAAATGTAACTGATTTCTTATTGTATGAAGCACTCAGATGCAACGAGTAAAGGACATTTTTTAAATTATTTTATTAGTTTGGACGTGTAGCATAAAATAAAATCTTATAAATGCACGCAACGAATGCACAAATAAGGAACTTCAAAAATCTGCACAGAAGGGGTCAATTATAAAATCAGATGCAGATATGAGAAGAAATTAAAACTGATCTTAAAGTACCAGGATAAGAAGGCATGGATTTAGCTCATATTGTTGAGGTTAGGGACAGGGAAGGTTTTAATAAAATGTAGAGAATATCTTGACTATTTGAGCAATTATTTATTTCTAAGGAAGACTCTACTCCATGGAGTGAATGAGTTTGCAATGGACAACATAGACCTGCGCGAAGACTGCTAAAAAGTGCCACAAACCAGGCGTGAACACGTCAGTCAAAAGGTATAAGAAAATTCAAGTAACTGTACAATGAATGGAATATATGTTCTCAAGTTATAAAAATGGTACTGAAATTTGTTAAATGTAGGGCGAATTATGGTCAAATAAAGGCCCTTTTATGTTTGTAGTTCTGGGGGCGCAAATTATTTTGACAACGCAAAAACGTATCTTTGAAATTCATCAGAACTTCATACAATATATAGATGCACAAACTGTGGGAATATAGCAGTTCAAATAAATATTCGGTAAAAATAAAATCAATAAACAACACATTAAAACCAACACGTAATCGTCTCTTCATTTTACTTACAGACGTTGTACAATAGCCGTTTACGTTCTCTTTTTCATTGTGTTCTGCTAATTTGTATTGAGCTTTGTCCAAATAGGCAAACGGAGCATGAATATTGTCCCATCTTAACAATGTTTGATCAGTGCTTGGTTGCTACTGAGCCTCTCTGTCGAGATTACTTACTGAGGTTCCACTCCTAAAACCTCCTACCTCAAGCTGCAGGCTGCTTTAGGACATTAAGGGGATGGGGCAAAAACAGCTTGATTGTTTTCGTGATACACCGTACTAAACTTAAATTTCAATCTGCGAGTGAATTTTAAGTGGCTTTATTGCCATGTTTCTTTGAAGCAAACAAGGTTTTAGAACTATATTTTTTTCTGCGTCCTATAATTACATGTCAACATCATACAATCCAATACTTTTTTGTTCGATGCCAAACATTTTAAAACTCTGTAGTCAAAAATTCAGTGTTTATAGCCGCACGCAATTCAAAGTACTCAGAATAAACATTCTTAAACACATACATCTTATATTCTCTTCCTTTACTGACGCAAATTGTGCACTTGAAACACCGTTATTAAAACAACCGCGGGAAAAATGTTATTTTCGTACTCGCCAGGTAGAAACACATACATATATGAATTTACTATATTAAAGTAATGTTCCATCAAACTGTTGCTTCGTCAGTACTAATTCTAAAGACATATATTAATTGTAAAACGCTAATTAATAGAATATTAATTTAACATGAGTTTCGATCAACACGTCTTACTCGTATATTTGAACGAAATTAGTTAATTTTACTTCAAGTGTTCTTAGTCACTATTTAATATTGCTGCATATTAATTTAAACTGCTTAAAATTTTGTTTGATAAAAATGTACTGCACGTAATAAGTTTGTTACTTCTGTGAAACTTAATTTAAAAAAAAAATAGTTGAAATGTATTGAAATATGTTTATTCTGACGCATTCTGAAAATTACTTTTTGTGATATTTCTTTAGGTTCTCTAGTTATATATTTGAATATCTGACAATATATCGTGAATGCTTTCTCCTACATCTTTCTTAATCCATTATTCATAAAGGTCCTATAATTTTCTATTCACTGCTACATAACATAGGTCTGCATACTTGACAAATTTTCGCTAAGTGAACAATTTATTACTTAATCCGACTCCACTAAAAATGCAATCACTTCCATTGTTCTTTAGACCAAAAGCAGTACGAAGGAAATTTTACTCATAGATCGATAAACATTGTCTGTACTCATTGGTGCTAATACCTTTCTCTTTGAATTTATGAGCGAACGTGTCCAATAACAGTTTCATAAAGCGTTCTATCCGGGACCATTCGCTTTTGCTGAGTTTGTTAATGGTGGGCTGTGGATGAAGGAGGAGAACTAAAGTCGACATGGTTTTCTATTGAGCTAATGACGAAAGCTGAACAAAAAGATACTGCTTCAAACAGACCAGGCCTATATGAAACCCATACCAACGTTTGACCCGAGGTAGAGGAATCTAGTAAATGGGGAAGTGTCTGTAAACGTTTATACGGAAATTGAAGTCAGAGAGGAAGGGAGAGATTTCGATATAGAACAAACTTTAATTAAAACCAGTTAATGTGCACACGAAAGGGAATTCGATCGTGGATTCGTTATGCCGGCAGATTACAATAAACAAGCGGTGCAAAAAGAAAAGTAATAATTCGTGGTACTTGAATAGCATTGCTCGTTGAAGCAGATTTAACCTGTGATAACTTGTTCGAAATTAAGTTAGTAAATTAAATATATTGCTTAACGATTTAATAGTACGTATGTCTGAAGTTTTATTTTTATTTAAAGAGAAGAGACGACTACCATGCAGTGTACAGAGTTACAGTTCAATATTTCAACTGCGCACGCCAATATATTACACACACGTTAAATATAAACTGAGTAAAATGGCTGGTAATTTCACCTGTGCTATCAGCCACCTTGCAGGTTCATATAGTGTTAGGGAGGTACCCGGTACTCCTCGTGGCCGGTTTAAGGGTCATACTGAATTTCTCCGTCTCTCAACACGAACGTCAGGATAGCACCGCGACTGCTTCCTTATATGTCCTCAGAAATCAACTCACTGTACGTGATAACATAATTTCGCTCTCGTATATAGAAACTTGTACTTATTTATGTTTCTTTTGAAAAATATTTTTCTTTCGAAGAGGATTGTTTGATAAATGGT